CACTAGTTTGGTGCTGTAGCATCATGAAGGAACTGTTTTCTGACCTAAAGGTCCCTCTCCTCAGGAAGAACTAATCTCCTTCAGATATGCTCAAGGCCTTTTGATGCCTCTGCATCTAAACTGTCTAAACTAGCCATTTGCCTCCCCTACAGCTCAAGAGAAGAAAGAAGACCAAAAAATCTCTTTCTATTAAATAATGGTCAAATACCTGTGTTAGTCCAAATAATCACGTAAAACTCAATGTTAAATCAATCTGTGAAATGAGAATATTAATTACTTGATATTATAATCATATGATAATATTTTAATAAGTAATATAACTTTTAAACTACACACTAGACTGATTACATATAATGTTAGTCACATGACAAATTCCTTTGTCTCTCCAATCAGAGCTTTCCTTTCTGACGCGTGGCATGATCTGTGAGGTGTTTAAATTTGTTGTCCAATTTTGATTCAACCATTAATCAAGACATCTGAATTATAAAACTAACTCCCACGTCATCCTTCACTCAGTTCAAACGTTCTAGAGTTGCGAGCTGGCCACTCGTAACTTTTTAACCACAAAGAACCTTGACAAGCTGGAAAATAAACCTGTTGCAAGCTCCACCTGAAGCAACACTCCTTCAGAGTAAAAGCTGAACTCACTGACCCCTCAGGGTCCCGCTGACACCAACTGCCGCTTACCTGGGGACATTCCAAGACTAGTCTGTCGTACCGCACGCTGTTTCATCGGCTCCAGGACCAAAGAGGGGTTCGAGAACCTGGCATTCTGGATCTACACGAAGGTTTCCGCAAGGGTATGTAGCTCGGCAAGATAGCGTCTGAATGTGTTTTTTGAAACTCCACTATAGTTTAGAGCAAAACATTCGCTCCCACACAGAACTAAGGCTTCTCCGGAAACGAGAGTTCTGGTAACAACATTCCACATTTACACCATCCATCTTGCCTCATTCACAACCTAGATCCATTCATCACACAGTGTTTAGAGTTAAAGTTAGAGTTAGCCTTGTTTTAAATTGTTTAGAAATAAATCTTCTCAAACTTTTAAACTTGTCTCTCTCTCTCTCTCTTTGACTATGATACTCTACAGTGCATAAGCACAAACCACAGTCAGGACCCGTCCACCCACACCTAGACAGAGGGAGGCTACCCTCTCGTTCACCAGGGTAAACCCCAATGTACAGGCACCTAGATGTGGAACAACTAGTATGCCCCCCACACTGTTCGGTGTCTCTCAGACGGGGCAACTCCAGAGTGGTAGAAAGTCCAACCCTCTCAAGGAAACTGGTTCCAGAGCCAGAGCCATGCATTGAGGTGAGTCTGACTATATCTAGTTGGAACCTCTCAACCTTACACACCAACTCAGACTCCTTCCCCAACAGAGAAGTGATATTCCATGTGCCAAGAGCCAGCTTCTGTACCTGAGGATCAGACCGCCAAGGTCTCTGCCCTCGACTACCACCCGTCACACACTGCACCCGACCACTCTAGAAGAAGAAGAAAGTATCATTTCTATAGCGCCGCTCAAGATAAAAATCACGAGGCGCTTAATCACTCTAGCCCGTCCCATGAGTGGTGAGCCCATAGGGAGGGGATCCACGTTTCCTCTTTGGGCTGTGCCCGGCCGCGCTCCATTGGAAAAAGCCCGGCCATCAGGTGCTTCGCCAATGTGCTCCCCCTCCAGGCCTGGCTCCAGAGTGACCCGCATCCGGAGGAGGGAACACTGTTTCCATGTATATTTTTCTTCATAAGGGGTCTTTGGGCTGCACTTTATCTGATCCCTCACCTAGGAAATGTTTGCCATGGGTGATCCTACCAGGAGACAACTCTGGACTAACGTTGCTTTTTTTAAATGCATGTAAGCCCATTTGTCTGGCTGAAGGTAAACTCGTTCTAATTGAGCTTCCAGATAATGTGGTAGCATTCTGAACACATTCTGTATGTAAACAGGTCAGCCAAACTGAACTGGTTGAATGGTCGCATTCTGGAAGTGACAAGACAGTGGAAGCAGCGTTTTGATAATATCATCACCACAAAGTAACACAAGTAATCATCACACAGTACAGTACTTGCCAAATAAGCTGAGCTGCAGTGTTGTTGTTCCTTCAGCTGTTGTGCATATCCAGTTTCAAATTATTCTGCTTCACTCCCGCCAGCATTAGTTTACTATTTTTGTTGCTGAAGGCTAACTTGAAAAATGCCAATATAAAAAAGTGCATGTCAGCACCTACTGTACTGGAGTGAAATAAACTTCGTTTGAGGGACCGGTTTTCTAATGCGCATGTAAACTAGCAGTGACAGCTCGTCCATCGGGGGCGCCTCCCCACCAGTCTCACAGGAAGAACAAGAACATAGGAATCACAAAATATTTTAAAAAATCATGAAAATTAAACCAAACAATCTAAACAACATACAGACTGCAAATGCTGTGTATAATCTGCATTTAAGTGTAGTTTAAAAATGTTATTTACACTTTTAACACTACTTGTGACGTATTTCCTGTTACTTTCGGCGCACCAAGCTATACCATAGACATACCTAACTGGTGCATACTGAGTTAATGCTTTAAACTTCATGAAATTTGCTTAGTGTTTTTTTTTTATTATTATGCTGAATTAGCATATAATGGTGAATTTTAAGGATGTTTTTGGAACAATTTTGATGTTAACGGCCTGTCGGTGTGATGCATAAGAATGGTGATGTGGCGTTTCCTGGTGGTGATATGCGGATAGCCCATCTGTTGTCACAACCACAATTTTCAGACTTAATTATTAGAGTTATGAACAATGAGACTATTTTTAATACATTCGTAATGTGAACACTTTTCTAATCCATGTTTCTCCTGATAACATTTTGTTTTTGACTAGAATTATGATGAAATAATGAATAAATACTTACGTTTTTGACACGTTTAATTTAAACACCTTAGAGACTAACGTTTAAGGAGTTTATTTATTTTTTTATTTTCTGGCTGCTTGAATTTTGCTGTTGTTTTAAAAAAACAGGAATGCGTTTCGAAATTACAAACTTTTTAAAGATTTATTATAATTTTTTTCAAATAAACTGTAATTTTTTTAATGTATCTAACTATAAACTATCATTTTTAATGAAGCAAATAAGAAACATGTAAATGAAACAAATTTATTAAAAAAAAACCTTGTTATTCTAATGCACTTTCCCATAACAGGTCATGCAAATCTTGGCTGGCATGCTCTTTTTGGCACAACACCTGTCAAATTGTGCCCCACCCCAAAAATAAATAAATAAATAATTCACCAGCTGCCACTGTTAACTAGGATTAAGACCGCCAGCTTATTACCATAAAATTAACCGGACTTAGATGTTGTTTAGTGTGTATGTAACCGCACTAATTATTTTGACTAGTTTAAACAAAAAGGAGTTATGTTTATTTATTTGGCAGACGCTTTTATCCAAAGCGACTTACAATTTATGACCTATAGGGCATGTTGTGATCCGTGGGGGAAACCGGAGTACCCGGAGGAAACCCACGCATGCATGGGGAGAACACGCAACTCCACGCAGAAAGGCTGCAGCCCAGTTTCGAACCTGCAACCTTCGTGCTGCGAGGCAACAGTGCTAACAACTGCGCCACCATCATAAAGATGTTTTTCATCAATGTTTTTCATCATTGACACTCACTCGGATGTTGAGCTCTGGATCTTCTAAAACAGGGTTTCTCAACCTTTTTCAGCTAAACGCCCCCTCATGCTGAAATCCCTTACTGCCCACCAATGAAAGAGAAACGGAAAGTTTTTTGATACAAAAATCATAATTAAAAAAAATAGTCAGCCTTGAGTTTGAAACTGTTTAATACAAATATGTCATAAAAATGTATCATAAAAACATGTTTTAGCTATTAGCAATGAGATATTGTAGGAAGCTAACAATCCTCGGTCCAGTAAATTCGAGCTTCGAGCAAAAATACTGTTAATGTTACCTCTTTTAGAGTGACTCTCTTTAATTACCTGAAAATAGTTCAGTTCATTTGAAGCTTTGTCTGGATGCATTTTGGACAAGTGCTCCTTAAGCCGGGAGGGTTTCATTGCTTCGTTTGAAAAAACTTGTTCACAAAGCAGGCACATGGGGAGTTGTGGATTCGTGGGTGAAGGAATACATCCATACCGAAGGTAGTCCACATTGTACTGTCAACACTTCTTTTTATTCTGAGCTATTGTCTGTTATGAATGTGCTGTATCGCTAGCGCCCACCATTAGCATCTCAGCGCCCCCTTCAGTGGAAAAAAACTTTCACCGCCCCTTATATAGACTGAACGCCCACTGCGGGGCGCTACAGCCCCCGTTGAGAAACCCTGTTCTAAAACGTAATTTTCACGTGAGCTCAAGGCTAAAATGATGACGAAATTCTGCATGTTACAAAACACCATTACCAGGCATGTTAGTTTTTTCCTACGATGTTGTTCAAAGAAATTTAGCCAACGTACCAACGATAAACCAGCCAGAAACTTCACATAACAGACAGTAACTTCCTGAGTCATTCTGTGTAGAGGATGCTGGTATTTGTGAAGTTTGACAGATGTACGCAATTAAACATGAGCTTGGAGGGTGTGAGGAGAGAAAGGAGACAAGTGGAAGAAGAGAAGAAGAAGAGTGTTAAATTGATCTGAAGACGGGAACACAATGCGGCAGCAGCTAACCTGTTCCATGGCTGCTGCTGTGATGGATGAGGTCAGTGAGAGAGCTTCGTCCAAACGCTCAGCGCTTTCAGAGGGTCAGGCTGAGGTCAAAGTGCACCCAAAGGGGAGGTGTGATGGCTGTCGTGCAGGTGTGGGAAAATCTCTGTGAAAGTTGTTAATCTTTGAAATATCTGGAAATGTCTTTAAGGTTTATCCAGGTAATTTAACATGCTGCATAAGCTAAGGCCACAGTTTAAGGAACACGAGACATAAAAAGATCAATCAGCCACAGTCACCCTGTGAAAAAGGGGAAGGTGGTGGAGGAGGAGCTACAGCAAACGTTTCCTACATTGGGTGGCAATGGCATGAATAATGCTACTTAGGCCTAAATAAAGTAAAAACGCAACAATCTATGATTCTTCTTTTACTTTCTTTCATTTTCATCAGAGGTCAAACAAACTCCAGTCAGAGGTGCAGCAGCAGATAAACTGGTTTCCACGTCACTTTCCAGAAGTGAAACTGAAACTGATCCAGAGCTGCAGTCGAGACCAACTTGTGTGTTTCTGTCTGAAGGAGAATTAAACTGAGTTGATCTTTTCTTCTCCAACAACTGACTCAGATATCGGTGAGTAAAACTGATCATATTTACTGTGTTTCAACAATCAGCAGGAAAACTAAACTCAGATTCAATCAAACAAACAGGAAGTTTGAGTCTTTTCTCTTCCTGCTGAAACTCCTCAGATAAACTCATCTGAAGTGAAATGAAACCAAAACATTTTAATAACAGTAATATTAAACTGTACTGATTCCATCTGCTTTAATCTGTAGTTGTTCCTCTCTGACTCTTGTTCTCAGAGTTCAGACATGTCTGCTGGCAGCAGCCGGAGATCTGAGGATCAGTTTCTGTGCTCCATCTGTCTGGATGTGTTCACTGATCCAGTCAGCACACCATGTGGACACAACTTCTGTAAGACCTGCATCACCACACACTGGGATGGGGACAGGAGCTGCCAGTGTCCCGTCTGTAAAAAGGTGTTCAAGACCAGACCTGAACTGGAAGTCAACACCTTCATCAGAGAGATGGTTGATCAGTTCAGACACGAAGCTGAACAGAAAACCAGCAGCAGCTCAGAGCAACAAGCTGCCAAACCAGGAGAAGTTCCCTGTGACGTCTGCACTGGAACCAGACTGAAGGCCCTGAAGTCCTGCCTGGTGTGTCTGCTCTCCTACTGTGAGACTCACCTGGAGCCTCACCTGACAGCTTCACGTCTGAAAAGACATCAGCTGGTGGATCCTGTGGAGAACCTGGAGGACAGGATGTGTCAGAAGCACGATAAACCTCTGGAGCTGTTCTGTAGAACCGACCAGACGTGTGTCTGCTCACTCTGTCCTGTTTTAGACCACCAGACTCATGAGTTTGTTCCTCTGAGAGAAGAATATAAAGGAAAGAAGGCAGAGCTGGAGAAGACAGAGGCTGAAGTTCAGCAGATGATCCAGAACAGACGACTGAATATTCAGGAGATCAAAGAGTCGCTGAAGATCAGTAAAGATGCTGCAGACAGACAGAAAGCAGAAGGTGTTCAGGTCTTCACTGATCTGAAGGAGTCTGTTGAGAGAAGCCTGAAGGAGCTCATGAAGGAGATCGAAGACAATCAGAAAACTACAGAGAAACAGGCTGAAGGCTTCATCAAAGATCTGAAACAGGAGATCTCTGAGCTGATGAAGAGGAGCTCTGAGGTGAAGCAGCTCTCATGCTCTGAAGACCACCTCCACCTCCTCCAGAGCTTCAGCTCCCTGAAAGCTGCTCCACCCACCAAGGACTGGACAGAGGTCAGAGTTCATCCTCCATCATATGAGGGGACCGTGGTGAGTGCTGTGGAGCAGCTGGAGGAGAAACTCAGGAAGATGAAGAACCTGATGGAGGCTGAGCTGAAGAGGATCCAGAAGTCTGCAGTAGATGTGACTCTTGATCCTGCCACGGCACATCCTGACCTCATCCTGTCTGCTGATGGAAAACAAGTTCACTGTGGTGATGTGAGGATGTATCTTCCAGACAACCCAGAGAGATTTTCTACATGTGTGTGTGTTTTAGGGAAACAGAGTTTCTCTTCAGGCAGATTTTACTTTGAGGTTCAGGTTAAAGGAAAAAGTAAGTGGACTTTAGGAGTGGCCAGAAGGTCCATCAACAGGAAGGGAAAGATCACAGCAAGTCCTCTAAATGGTTTCTGGACTGTTTGGTTGAGAAATGGAAATCAGTACGGAGCTCTTGCTGATCCTCCAGAAGATCTCCATGTTGATTCTGGTCCTGAGAAGGTGGGGGTGTTTGTGGATTATGAGGAGGGTCTGGTCTCCTTTTATGATGTAGGAGCTGCAGCTCTGATCTACTCCTTTACTGGCTGCTGCTTCTCTGATAAACTCCACCCGTTCTTCTGTCCTGGCCTTAATGAAGGAGGTAAAAACTCAGCTCCTCTGATCATCTGTCCTGTTGATCCATCAGTCTGATCTTTTCTCTCCTGAAGCTCCGTGAACAAAGAGTCTGTTTGTTAAAAGTTCTGATCTGAGTGACTCTGTAGGTGAAGTCCTGCTGGTGGAGAGGTGAGCTTGGAGACGTCCTCAGAAACAAGTCCACATTTTTCTGTTTGATACAAAATAGAATCATGACTTTATGATGTTTTTAATCCTTCTTCTACATGTTTTGCTCTTAAAATAATAATTTTCTTTTATAACATACCCTACTAATTATTAATTCATCTATTTACTCTGTGAAGTCATTATTAACTGGATGGTTTTATATTTTTAGTTTTTCTGTAGCATTTTTAGCTTCCATAAAACACTGAAATCCATCACGATGTTGATTGTTTTCTTTCTTTTAAACTTGGTTTTATAAATGTTCAGGTTAATAAAAAATTTGTTTTAAAAAACCAAAATGTCCTGATATTAATAATTTTCTGATAAAAGCTGTAAATCTGGAGTATATATTATTGTGGAGTTGGAGTAATAATTGTGAAACAAAAACAAATAAAAGGCTGTTTTCGGGGTCATTTGTGTTTGTAGAAAAAGATTCAGCTATTTCCGTTCAGCTCGTGAAAAATGGGAGCATAAACAAAAGTGTTGAATTTTTATTTTTGTTGCGTGTAGACAGTAAAATCAATGTATATTTTGTTTCTGGCTTTATCCATAATGAAGCTTGTGACCTCCATCTAAACACACAATAAAAACATTAATTTAATCTAAAAAAATCTTTGTGTCTTTATTTCAGTTATCAGTTCAATGGGGCCAGTTACCCCAGTTGTGCCGACCCACAGGTTTATGACAGCAGGACAAGACCGGCACCACTCGATGTAATTAATGAAACCAGGAATATTGCAGAAAATCCTGAAGGAGAATGTCTGACCTTTGACCTCAGACAGCCTATTCTTGCTGGAAATTTCATCAGTATGACTGAACTAAAGCAATTTTGTCATCACAAACACTTTATTGTATTGAGCAATAACACATAAACTCTCATTTGGCCCTAGCAACAGGCTAACACACATACAGCTCGTACCTTCAGCATGATTACTTAGCATTTTGTTGGTGGGAGGGTTGGGTGTGGAGTAGTTATGAGTAAAGGTAACGATTCACAACTGTGCTGGAGTCACTTGGTAAACACACACTATAATTACTGCTTATTAGAGGCTATAGGGGCCCATTAGTGGCACTGGCCCTGCCCCTTACTGCCAGTCTCCTCATTATAGGAGCCAGCACAGCAAGGCCTGTCTCATTACCACCTGCCTGTTAAACTCTCTCTCTCTCTCACACACACACACACACACACACACACACACACACACACACACACACACACACACACACACACACACACACACACACACACACACACACACACTGCAGGTGTTGCCAGATTGAAGTCAGGTGCTGATTTGTTAATGCTCTGTGGAAAACAGGAGAGTGAATGTGCATCATCACATCTTACTACAGTCTGGTCAGCTGACAGTTTATAATGTGCCTTACTTCATGGTTATTTTTTCTGTGTTTCTTATATTTTGTGTGTGTGTGTGTGTGTGTGTGTTGGGGGGGGTCTTCACTATCAACAGATAATCTTAGATACCAACAGAAAAACACATTTAAAATTAACATTAACATTTATACACAATAATAGAAAAATTGTGTATAATAATATTTATGTTTCGCTATGGGTGCAATAAGTAACTTTGTGACATTTTTATTTTTTTGCAGGATTGCTCTGACCCCCCAGCGATCTGTGGAAAATTAGTTATGGAATCGGAGCAACTGTGTTGAATGCTGGACACAAACACAATCCCTCTGTTGATGACTGAATCTGTGTGCCCAGCTTTAAACTGGTCTCCAATAAAAACAAAAGTGACATTCCAGTCCATGCCGCCCTATGCTGTTCACCAGCACCGACAAAAGCCTCCATTCCTGGTGCAGCTGCCACTGTTACCGCTTCTTCATCTGACTGCCATGGTCCAACTATCCCAACAACACGGATCTAATGGGTTTATCAGCCCTCTGGTGCCCCTGTTAAAGGGTTTTAGTTTAAGCTGGTTTGTTTCACCCCGTCAAAGCAGAGGAAGGGAGAAGCTGCCAGCTTATTTTATGATTCTGCTTTTTCGCTGATTTTTTGTGCTTTAGTTGTTGAGAGCATGGCAGGATCGGCCATTCACCACTTGTATCTGGATCAGCTTCTCCATGTCTGCAAGTGTATTTGTAGGGTTAGGGTTACCATTTAAATGATGTTGGCTTCAGGAATGTGCAGCATTTTGAGTCACATCCCAACAAGTCTGACTCACAGTTAAAAGTCATTCGCCTTGAAGACCCTCATATCTAATGAGAGAAGAGAGTAAGCCTCGTCTCCGGTGCTGAACAACCAACAAGAATGTCTCCATGTCTAACCAAGAGGGCGAGCTGTATCGCGGTGGCTGATAAAGGAGCATGTGTAGCATTCAGCATGTGAGTGTATGTGCGTTTGTGTGCTTCCACTCCAAAGTGCTCACAGCGTTAGGGCACCCCCTCCAGAAAACACAGGCCTGGCTCTCCAAACTCAAAGACAAGCTCCATTCACCGCCTGGCAACGGTGCTGAGAAAAGGAGAAGAGATGGGCAGAGAGAAATGGGTGGGCAGTAAATTATCAGCTTTTAGAAAACAGGACAAGATATTTATTTATAGCATCGAGTCAGGGGCACTTGGGGAGGGCTGGACTGGAACCAGGGGGGTATGTGTTTTTTGCAAGGGGCATCCTTGGTGGTCAGTGCTGACCTACACTAACCTCTTGTATCCTGTTTTATTCTCCCACCCTCCACTTGTCTTGTAGCCGGAGCTAACTGAGACCTCCCTGGCAATTAGGGAACGAGTCACACCCACTCCCTGCCCCAAAAGGCGGTAAATCTTCCTCCTGCTCCTGGCCTTGTGACACACACACTCATATCCTCAGAATTGGGCCTTTAGGACACCATTCAGCCCTAAGCCTGCTTGCTTTATTCCCCACTCTACATTTTATCACCACCCCTTGTTTTGTTTTGCTGTCTCAATCCATCAATCTTCCCATTAGCCTTCCATATTACAGAAACCATGGGGGAACGCCCCCTTTACACCAGCCCTCCAAATCCGTCTTCCTCCCTGCGCCTCCCTCCTCCACTCGCTGCTGCTTTGCTGTTTCCCTCCAGCCTTCAGCCCAGCCTCATTAGTCGTACCTGTTGCTTTCAAATCCCACAGTCTCCTGCTTTTCACTTTCACCAGCAGCTCTGAGCTAACGTCAGCCACAACCATGACAGCAAGAAGTGAGTGAAGGATCGAGGACGGTGTGGGTGGAAGGTGGTGGTGGTGGTGGTGGTGGTGGGGGGGGGGGGTTGCAACACTTTGGGTGGTATATTTCCTGCAAGGGTGGGACACAATGCCCCCAGTGTTCTGGCGGGCCCATAGGAGCTTGTTTTACAACAGGGGAGGGGTAGCCTTCAATGGCCAGATGATGTGAACCACCCTGAGCTGATTCACAGTGACAAACAGCACCCCCTCCGCCTCCAAGCAACCCCCCACCCCCACCCACCCACCCACTCTTGTTTTGGGATTTCTCCCATTACCTCCCTCCTTCCCTCCACACATTCTGTTCTGTTGGACCAGAACCAGGGCAGCACAGAGCGTGCTGCAGAATGGTCTGGAGGTGCAGGGACACACGCCCACAAATGCTCAACATTTGTCTCACCCACGCACACACACACACACACACACACACACACACACACACACACACACACACACACACACACACACACACACACACACACACACACACACACACACACACACACACACACACACATGAAATTATATAATTTAACCAATCCATTGTAGATCCATTTGCTTCCTTCTCTTCAGTTTTAATGGGATGGAGATTGCTTGATAACAGGAAGATTGTGGAGGAACTGAACTGGAGCTAGACAGCCAAATGGACCCTAAACCCATGTGTAATGCAGTCTTTTAGACTCTGGTCTTGTTTTAAAGCTCTGCTCCCTGGGCCTCCAGAGTTCACCTGCATGGTCTCAGTTTGCCAATAAAAGTTGCATCAGAGAAATTCCATTGTGTCTTCACTTAGCTTGTACAGGTGAAATTAAAAAACTGAATATGGTGCGGATGATGTGGTCCTCCTAGCTTCATCCAGCTTTGACCTTCAGCTCTTGCTGGGTAGGTTCGCGGCCGAGTGTGAAGCGGCTGGGATGAGGATCAGCACCTCCAAATATGAGACCATGCTTCTCGACCGGAAAAGGGGGGCTTGTCAACTCCGGGTCGGGGGAGAGGTCTTACCTCAAGTGGAGGAGTTTAAGTATCTCAAGGTCTTGTTCACGAGTGAGGGTAGGAGGGATCGGGAGATCGACAGGCGGATTGGTTCGGTGTCTGCAGTGATGCGGACGCTGAGCCGATCTGTCGTGGTGAAGAGGGAGCTGAGCCAGAAAGCCAGGCTCTCGATTTACCGGTCGATCTACGTCCCAATCCTCACCTATGGTCATGAGCTTTGGGTAATGACCGAAAGAACGAGATCGTGGATACAAGCGGCCGAAATGAGTTTCCTCCATAGGGTGGCCGGGCTCAGCCTTAGAGATAGGGTGAGGAGCTCGGACATTCGGGAGGGACTCGGAGTAGAACCGCTGCTCCTCCGGATTGAAAGGAGTCAGTTGAGGTGGTTTGGGCATCTGGTCAGGATGCCTCCTGGACACCTCCCCAGGGAGGTGTTTCGGGTATGTCCTGCTGGCAGGAGGCCCAGGACACGTTGGAGAGGTTACATCTCCAATTTGGTCCGGGAACGCCTTGGGGTCCTGCCGGACCAGCTGGTGGAGGTGGCCGAAGAGAGGACGGTCTGGAGCTCCCTAGTTGGGATGCTGCCCCCGCGACCCGGACCCGGATAAGCGGAGGAAGACGACGACAGTGACAATGACGAATATGGTGCAAATGTTAGTAATGTCAGGAATTTAAAACCTTAAAAGATGAAACTAATACATGAGATAGACTCGTTCCGTGCAAATCCAGATGTTTCAACCCTTTACTTGTTTTAATTGTGATAATTATGGCTTACAGCTTAAACCCCACATTCAGAATATCAGACAATTAGAATATTACGAAAAGGTTGAATATTCTAGACTCCAAGTGTCACACTCTAATCAGCTAATTGATCCAGAGCACCTGCAAAGGGTTTGTGAGCCTTTAGATGGTTTTTCAATCTAAGATCAGTTACTGAAATAAACAGAATTTTACACCATATTCTCATTTTTGGAGTTTCACCTGTAAGCACCTATTGGTTCAGTTGATTGGACTCATGATGACGGCCTTTGTTCCTCGCATAACAGAAAAATCTTGCCATTTCCTCCATGTGCCTGATTTTTAAAATAATCTGATGCCATCAAACTTAAACATCTGGATGAGACCCTCTTTTGTTTCCTGTTGGAGGGTCTGTCTGTTTGTGTGTGAGGGTGTGACAGCTGGTTAGCAGTGAGCTGGTAGTAAAGCAGTGCGCCCCCTTGTTAAGGATGACAAGCCTGTGTGTGTGTGTGTGTGTGTGTGTGTGTGTGTGTGTGTGTGTGTGTGTGTGTGTGTGTGTGTGTGTGTGTGTGTGTGTGTGTGTGTGTGTGTGTGTGTGATGAGATCTGGAGGATGGAGTAAAGGAATGTAACCCAGCCTCTCTGCCCCTCCATATGAGGCTAATTGCAGCAGAACTGGGATGACCCGG